GGAGACGCGGCCCAGGGCCCTGGGTGTGGGGAGCGGTGGGGTGGTGGCCTGCCTCTCGCAGAGGGCAAGCCGGGCTGTTTCCTCCCCCCACCCCAGGAGGCGGCTGGACTACGTGAACCATGCCAGGAGGCTGGCAGAGGACGACTGGGCAGGGGTGGAGAGCGAGGGCGAGGAGAAGGAGGGGGAAGATGTGGAGGAAGAGGAGATGGACGTGGATGCTGGCAAGAAACTGCCCAAGCGCTATGCCAATCAGGTGAGGAGCTGCTTGCCGGCCCACGACGGGGTGCAGATGTGAACGAGGTGAGGGATGTGGGGTGGTTGAGGCTGGGCTGAGCATGGTGAGCAGCCATGCGCATCGAGGCTGAGAATAACATGTCCTGCCTGGCTTGGTGCTCAGTGAGGAACCGTGCCTCAGTTCTGCGCCTGCGATGTGCTGTGTTCAAATGGAGGACAGGCGGAGATGGGTTGCCTGTGTGCTTTGGGAGATTTCAGCTCAGCTAGCAGTGTTTGCATCCCATTGTGCAGCAGTCGGTTAAAGAATTCCATCTCTCCCCATGTCTGGGACACCAGGAAGGAAGAGAAACCTCAGCTGATGGGGTTTATCAGCCTTGGCTGCAGTGTTGGTCCTAAAAGACACACAGCCTTTCAGATGATCACAGCCAAACAGTCTATGAAGAGGTCAACTTGTGTGGGCTCTTTACTCCTAGTATTTAGAAATTTCTAAGCTCTGCCATGTGTTTATAAATAAATATAAACTGCTGGAGTGGGGACCGAGGTACAGAGGTACCCAAGTGAGGACTGTGAGCCCTGTGCTGTAGTCTGAAGCTTAGTCAGCAGCTGGGAAGCAAAGGAAAGACTTGGGGGAGAGTCTGTTATGCAAGTTGATTAGATAGAGGGAGGGAGCCCCTTTGGCACTGTAATGTGGGGTGACGAGCAATGCAAGTTGCCTCTGAAGCACCCAGTGTAGCCGTAGAAGCCAAGTCAAAACCTTCTTGCTGTGAGTTTTCTATTAACTTCAGGACAGTTGTTACTAATGTTTTGGTTTGTTTTTTTTTTTTCCCCTGGATTTCTCCATAGCTGATGCTGTCTGAATGGCTGGTCGATGTCCCCTTGGATCTGGAGCAGGAGTGGGTTGTAGTGGTGTGTCCCGTTGGGAAAAGGGCACTAGTTGTGGCATCCAGGGTAAGCGGCAGCAGTGGTAATGTCCCACCATTTGGTAAGGGACCTGTACCTGTTTCTCAACCAACATAAGATTGGCCCATGTGTCTTGCTTGACTTTTTTTTTTTCCTCTCTCATTTCCTCACAGGGCACAACAGCAGCTTACACCAAGAGTGGCTTCTGTGTCAACAGGTTCCCATCCCTGCTGCCAGGTGGAAACCGGCACAATTCAACGAGTGAGAAAGGTAATGGTGTGAGGAGGCTTTTGGGATACAGAGAGGAGAACTGCCTGCTTCTCCCTGTGAGCGTGTGTGCTGGCAGGCTCGGTGCTGCTCCTCCAGCTCCCTGGGTCCTTAAGCTGTGCAGGGAGAAGTTAGCTTCAGGCCTGTTTGTGTATCTCTGGGCATAACTAGACATGGACAATCTCAGATACTTTTATGCTAGATAAGAACATATTTTAATTAACTGCCTGGTTAACTCACACTCTTAAACCTCAACATCTTATCTGTCTTCCAACAGAAAGCTGTGTGCAGTGCCGTCTTTCTTACTAGCTCTTGCAGTTGCTTTGCTTGTCCTGAGGAGGGGTTACTGTTGAATATAAATGCCTTTTTCTGAAACATGCCTTTGCTTGATGTACCTCTGGCTGGTACCTTTGTAGCCTTGTTGGACTCCAAGTTAAAGGCTTTCTGTGGTCGCAGCTTCTGTTAGCAGAAGGGGATCTCTCTGCACCTCTCGGCCTTACATCAGGGAAGGCTTAATGCAGGAGAGATTTGATCTGGCAATTGCCTGTTGGGTTGGGCAGTCTCTGGAGCATGTCAGGACCTCCCTGTGTTTGTGTGCACAGTGTACTGCATCTTGGACTGCATCTACAATGAGGCAAAGCAGACGTACTATATCCTCGATGTGATGTGCTGGAGAGGACACCCTGTTTATGACTGCCAGGTACTGAACTTCCCCCCTCTGCCCTGCCCTCCCTTTTGTTCCCTGTTCTGTGAGCTGCTTTGCAGCCAGCACTGGACATAGCCCACTATGCAGTAGGATGGCTATTTCATCTAAGCACCAGCACCTTTACAGCTTGTGGGCTGCTGGCTACTGGAATAATTGGGTACATCTTTTGGGGGTATAGGGGGAAGTAGCAGAGTTTGGGCTGCTGGCTGGTTCTGCAGGTGAGGCTGAGTTTGTAAATCTCCCAGGCAAGTGCAGAGGAATGGAGATGCTCACCAGGTGCTGATAGGTGATGTGTGGTGGCTAGTCACTAAGTCTCTGCCTCCTTTCACAGACCGACTTCAGATTCTTCTGGCTTTTCTCAAAGATCCAGGAGGAGGAAGGGCTGGGAGAGAAAAGCAGGATTAATCCAGTAAGTTCTTTTGTACTGGGAGGAGAAGGAGGATGTGGGGTAAGCTCTCCTGTTCAGCA